TGTCTGGGTGGCTCAGTCAGTTAAGTGGCAGACTTCATCTCAGGTCACGATCTCATGGTCTCTGAGTTCGAGCCCAGCGTCGGGCTCTGTGCTGAGAGCCTGGAGCCTGCTTCAGATTTTGTGTCTCCCTCTCTCTCTCTCCCGCTCCCCTGCTTTCTCTGTCTGTCAGGAACTGAATAAATATTTGGAAAAAAAAAATTAAAGTGTAAGTCTTGGGGCACCTGGCTGGCTTAAATGTAAACCTTGGCTTGTCATTTCCCTACTTAAGTTCTTTCTTGGTTCCCAATACAAGCTGCGAGGAAGTACATATTTACCCTGCCATTTCCCTGAGTTCAATGGATAGTTCTAAACCACATCAGGTACCTATATCTGTAGAAACAAAAGCCCTGTCCTTGTAGAACTTAGTCCTTCTTCATGGTGCCTTCTCCAGCTCTGTTGCTTTCAGGTCTTGATTTCTCCCTCCACCTTCCTTGGTGCTTCAGATCCTTTGTACTTTGTGCCTCCTGCCTGGAATACTCAAATTCAATCATCTTTAGCTCACTTCCTCGTTAACACATCTCCCCATCCACCAACACCCCCCCCCCCGGCCCCCCATCCTCCAGTAACCTAAATCCAAGTGATATTTTTTGTGTAGCATTAGAGTTGTTTCTTCTACTTAAGTTCAGAAGATCAGGTAACTGTCTGGTTCATTGCTGATTTCTCAGCTACAAATGAATATGGTGGTGTTTAGTGTATATATATGTGTGTGTGTGTATAATTTAAAAAATTTGTTTTAGTATTTATTTATTTTTGGGAGACACAGTGCAAGCAGGGGAGGGAGGGGCAGAGAGAGAGACAGAATCTGAAGCAGGCTCCAGGCTCTGAGCTGTCAGCACCGAGCCCAACGCGGGGCTCGAACCCACGAAGTAGGGGATCATGACTTGGGCTGAAGTCAGACGCTTAACTGACTGAGCCACCTAAGCGCCCCAGTTTTTAAGTAACCTCTGCACCCAGCATGGGGCTTGAAGTCAGGATCCCAACATCAAGAGTCACATGCCCTACCAACTGAGCCAGCCAGATGCCCCAGTAAATGTGGGGTTTGTTTGGTTTTTTGTTTTTTTAGTAGGCATTTAGAGTTGACCAGGTGTCAGGTGAGTTTCCTTTCCTGGAACTACTGATTTGAAAGGGAAGAATGAAAACTTGCATAAAATGGTTGTGAGATTCAGATAAAGCGTGTAGAGCATTTGGCCTGGGACACCTAGCACTTTGTAAGTACAGAATAACATATTCTTCGTGTTTTAAGGCAGGTTCTTTTTATAGAGGAGATTAACTCAAGATTGTGACTTGTCAAAAGTTTGTCATGGTTGCTTCTAAATCTCTTCTGGTAGACACTAAAATGGGGAGCTGGTCATTGCTTATCCCCACTAGGTGTAGGAGTTGGTCGAGGGGAGAAGGTTTTGGGGCACTTCTGACTTGTAATGTCTTGTCTGGTTTTAGAGCTTCTGATACTCAGTGAACTTAACTTCAGCTCTTGGAACTTTCCTCCTGTACCTGTTTAGTCTGTCTGCCCTGGAATGTTTTCCTCTTCCTGAGGAGTTTGAGCTATCACTTGAATATACAGTACAAATATGATGGGTCTTGGCCACATACTGCAGTTACTCCTGGTAAACCTGCATAAACACACATCTCTACCGCTTGGTTTTTTTAGCCTTTGGGTCAAAAATCTTTGTTCTCCTTTAATACCACTTGAGGGTTTGGTAGGCAAGGAGTACCAAGCATTGTGGTTAAACATCGATTAATCAATGTGTAAATTGAGATCTACATGTGACTGGACAGGCTTTCCTCTTAGAACACTTGCTGGGTCTGATCTGTGGCCTGGAAAGCTGTCAGAGAAGGGCAGAGCAACCCGCTTGTCACCGTTGGTGAGATGGCAGCAGTACATGTTGTTGGTCTCCATCTGATGATTGTGGGACAGACCAGAGAACACTTCATGGTTTTAAAAATAGTTGTGAATTTCCAACTCCATCAATGTCTTACTTGTTCTGGGTTCTGCCAAATGAATACATCCCCTCACGTTAGGCTTCCATATAGCAGAAACTTGAAATGCAGGCAGTGGAAAGGGGCAGTTTTGGAAGTCCAAAGTCTTGGATTTGTGTGGCCTTGTTCATCTGCTAGATTGGTCATTTGTGAGAATTTAAATGGTTATGAGTAGGGGTGCCTGACTGGCTCTGGGTAGAGCATACAACTCTTGATCTTGGGGTCATGAGTTCAAGCCCCATGTTGGGCGTAGAGTTTACTTTTTAAAAAATGGTTTTGAGTAGATAAGGGCTCAACAGGAGGCTCTTAGTAAATACTAATTAACCCTCAATGTGTATTTCATTGTTAAAAACTTGATCAGAGTCTATGTATAGAGACAGTATTTGCCTCAAGGATAGCCAGGATCCCTGTCCTATAAAAAATCCTGTATTTGCAGTGTCTGACCTTGAATATGGCAATGTAACTGTTATCTCTATTTTCCAAGAGGAAAACTTGAACCTCAGATTATTAAGTAACTTGTTCAGTGACTGTCAAGATTTGCATGCAGGTTGTGTCAGACTTTAGTTCTTTCAAGTGCAGTAGGTGAAGATCTGGGAAAGTGTTCACTTTATGTGCAGGTAAGTTTTTAGAAGTTACTTAAGACCCTGGAAAAAAGTTCCTCAAAAAGTTAAACCCAGTTAATTACATAGGCAATAGAAGTTAAATTAAAATTGCCCAAGAGATGATCACTGTTAATATTTTGCCGTATGTCCTTTTTTCTTGACTTCCGTGCAAAAAATTTCTTGTTTAAATGGGACCAAGACCTTCCCATTAACCCATTCTTCTTGCTTCACAGATGATTGTACTACATATGAAAATTTACAGATAGACCTAATCATTTTTAAATGATTCTGTTTTGTGTTTTTGCCATGAGATAGATGGGTTAATTCCAAGTTTTTGCTCTATTAACATATGTATGTGCCCAGCAGTAGCAGTTAGGCATTTGAGATAAAGTAGAGTGTGTGGTCACGATCCTGGATGTACTCAGGGAGTTCAAGGAGTGTGTGTACACGTATGCACACTAGAAGTTGCGGGGTTTCTTTGGCTAAATTCATGTGTAAATGAGCTGATAGTTATATAATCTAACATGGTACATATTCAGTTCCGACATAATCTTGGAGGGCAGTAATTTTTACATCTAGGTGTGTATTTTCTTAGAAGTTTTGATCTGTACTGGGGTGGAACATTGCCTAATGAGTTAATAGCTTGGCCTCTCTACTTTTTCAGTTTTTTTGTTTGTTTGTTTGTTTTTTAACGTTTATTCATTTTTGAGAGACAGAGCATGAGCAGGGAAGGGGCAGAGAGAGAGGGAGACACAGAATCTGAAGCAGGTTCCAGGCTCTGAGCTGTCAGCACAGAGCCCGATGCAGGGCTCGAACTCACGAACTGCAAGATCATGACCTGATTCAAAGTCGGACACTCAACTGACTGAGCCACGCAGGCGCCCCACTACTTTTTCAGTTCTAAAGGGGGTCCCATTTTGTGATACTAGGATCTTAACAGTCCCCACCTGTTGGGTGAAAGCATAGAAGGTGCTTAGCAAGTTTCCTGCTGGTATGTTGCTAATTGTTCTCCTGAAAGAAGGTCCAAATTTACACTTGAAGGAAATGCAGGCAGTTTTGACTTGGAGTAAGGTCTTTCCATAAGGGGCGATTGGTGTTTGATAAGGGGCTTGTCTCTCAGACTTGCTTTTAGGGAATGAAAAGCTAATGGTGAGTATGCATTCCGTCCAAATGGAAATGTTGGGGAACTGGGTGGGATGTGCTCTCTTGTGGTGGCACTGGGACAGGTTAAATGACTGCTACCCTTTTTTCCCTTTTAGTACATCCAGCAGTGGTAATTCGACAACGAAAGTCATACCGGAGAAAAGATGGAGTGTTCCTCTATTTTGAAGATAATGCGGGGGTCATAGTAAATAATAAAGGTGAAATGAAAGGTAAGAAAGTATCCACGTTGTTCCCTAGGTCTTTGAGATGGGACGATTTAACCTTGGGTCTGTCTGATCTTACCTGTCACCACATTCTTTTTTTATGCAGGTTCTGCTATCACAGGACCCGTTGCAAAGGAGTGTGCAGACTTGTGGCCCAGGATTGCATCCAATGCTGGCAGCATCGCATGATTATTTCCTTTATCTGTTTTAAAAAAGAAGTAAAAGTTATGTGCTCCCAGTGTTTGCCTTCTTGTTCTCTTGTACACATTACTCTTCTTGACACCACCTAGCCCTTGCTTCCTTTTGTAAAATGAAATTACTAGTGCAAACTTTCTGGGGACGTGTGTGAAACAAGGATAAACAGTACTTGCACTTTTCGACTCTATAGACACTTACGGACTTTCCAATTTCTGCTGTAAAAACTTATTTGGGTGTCCTTAAGTCGCAGATAGTGGGTACTGTTTAATAGGAGGTTACCCCAGGTAACTGCCTTGCAATTCATTTGAGATAATGTAGAGTGAATGGTCAGATCCTAGACACACATGGAGGTCCAGGAGCGACGTGAGGAAGGACCAGATTCAGGTGTATAGATGCATATTTGTGCAGTTCTGGGTTTTGGGTAAACTGGCACATAAATGACTTTATTTGTAAAATCTAACATGTATGTAACTGCCATTGGGTTTGCTTTTATGAACGGTGATTAAATTATTTTATTTTAAATTATCAGGTTTTTTGCTATCAAAACATTTTGACAGGATGGCTGTATAATGTACCTGCTAAACCTTAGTTCGAGGATAAAAGGTGATGGGGGCGCCTGGGTAGCACAAGCCAGGTCACAAGCTCACAGTGCCTGAGTTGGAGGCCCAGATTGCAAAGCCTGCTTGGGATTCTCTGTCCCTTCCCCACTCTAAACTTAAAAAAAAACTTCAAAACCTTAAAAAATAAAGGTGATGTGATGATACCAGCACAGTGGGTGTAAACCTTGGCAAATTCTACTTGAAGGAATTGGACATTGGTTTTTGTTTTTGTTTTTAAGAATCTAAGGCAGGCTCCACATTGAGTGTGGAGCCCTACACTGGACTCAATCTCACAACCATGGCATCATGACCTGAGCTAAAATAGAGTTGGATATTCAACCAACTGAGCCACCCAGGTGCCCCTGTAACTTTTCTTTCTAAACCATGAGAAGATTTATGTGATGTTTCAAGGCCTGAGGAAAAATGACCATTTGGCAGGTTTGGGGCAATAGTGTGGCCTAAAGATGTTGGAATAGGGTTTTTAGATTGAGGTTTGTGTTCATGTATCTTATTTTGAGGTTTGTGTTCATGTATCTTATTTTCGGATTAACAGTATTCTGAAAATACCCAGCCTTAAGTGTTCTCTTGGAAGGCTAGAGATGAGAGTATGTAAGGACCCCAGCACATAGTAAGATTACCCTTTTGTCCAAGATTCTGCATGGAATGTATTAGATTTAAGTAGTGGTCCTCAACCTGAGGAGTTAAAAAGACATGTACAGGCAATATCACAGGCCAGTTAAGTCAGATTATGGAGGTAGGACCCAGACCTCAGTACCTTTTAAAGATTCCCCAGGAGATTCCGAGGTGCAGCAGCCAAGATTGAGATCTGGTGCTGTCTAGACTGAGCCTATCTTGTTTTAGAAATACATTCAGAAGTCTAAAACAGACCTGTCTTCCTCCTGCCCCCTATCCTCCAGCCTGGTGAGATTGAAGTCTTTAATGTGACATGAGATGTAAAATTAGTCCTTTTTATCCTGTTGTGTGAACTCTACATGTGAAATTTCTCACCTTCAAATGGGAGTGAGGGCTGGGTCTCTTCCCTTCCTTGTCTTATGTCTTACATGTTCTGCCTGGGTCCATTTCAAGTTGTAACAGAGTAGACTCAAACTATAGACGTTAACCTATAATTTCAGGTTTCTAGGAATTTGCCTTTCATGGTATAGAAACCTTAGATATGCTGAGTATTGCCAGAATTAGTGGTTTTCTGCGTATATAAAGCAACCTTTTCTAATACACGTGCCTTCATATAGTGAGTATAAAAGACTTGTGATCCTGTTGTCTCGTGTAGGATAATAGCATCTCAGAGTTGGGTGTGAGGAGTAGTTTGAGGGTTAAACCATCTGTGTAAGAGCTTCTTCAAGGGGAAAAGTTGAAGAAGGAAATAAAAATCACCTGTAGTCACAACAACTAGAGGAAATCATTGTTCATGGTTTGCTATATCCTGTCAACATACACAAAAAAAATTAGCCAGGGGATAATGTGTCAACCTGCTGGTTTCTTGTGGGTTTTTGTTGTTGTTTTTAAGCTGGAGGAGGAATACTAGCTGATGGAAATAATTGGGTTGGATGGGGAGAAGTGCTTTACGAGGACTTCCTGGAAGTCAGGAGACCTGAATTCTGGCTCCGGATCCACCACTAAGTGGGTTTAGGGAATATCCCAATGTTTCTTGAGCTTCAATTCCCACTTGTGTAAAATGAGAGTCGGAAGTAGATGCTATCTGAACTTTCTGATCATTCTGGGTACAAACAAGCTTCTCAAGGAGACGGAGTTTGGGAAATGTATATAGTAGGGTGGGGGGCGGGGCCCAGTTGCGTTCACACTGCCCAAGTTCTGAATCCCCCTCTTCAATCTCCAACTCCTCTTGCGTGGTCTCCTGTTGGTCATCCTTCACCTCACGGCCACGCAAGCAACTTCCCTCACAGCCCTGGGGGTCTACCCTATTAGATGGGGCCATAGGGTTTGTGTCGCAGGAGTCTCTGACACGTCACAATGCGCAGGGGAGCCCCTACCTAGGGCCCTCAATTCCCACCAGAAAGGCCCTCGGAGGCTGTAGTGGTTGGGATGTCGCGCGTGTGCGAGTGTCCTCTGCGGCTGGAAAAGGGCTTCATCTTGGATGGTGTGGCCGTGAGCACCATGGCCCGCACCTATGAGCGCCTGAGGCCCAAGGTCTGGTCGGCGATTCCGCCCTACAACGCTCAGCAGGACTACCACGCCCGCCGATACTTCCGGAGCCGCGTGGTTCCGCCAGTGCTGCGCCGGACTGAACAGGTTATTTATAAGAGTGCCCCGGACGATCCCACTGTCTGTCCCCACAGAGCTCGACCCTGTGGCGGGGCGTTTTACCCCTCGGGCGGGCCCTCCCACCTCCTCGGTTTTCTTACTGAACCCCCGGAACTGGCGCAGGCGGATGACAGGTATTGAGTTCACTGGGCTCACAAAATCACTTTCCATCCCTGAATTGGAGAATGTTCCCATTTTGGGTTTCTGCAAGCCTTAGCGAACGGGCCTGGAACCTGGCCTCTCCCAAACAGATCGGTGTCATTGTCCTTTTTGACGTCATGGACCCGACCTCGGGGTGATCTCGCACCACAGATTCTCTAAGAGCGCGAAAATCCTTGTGACCTCAGCGAACACCTGCCAGGCGGGGCGCCCTCCATCGGTGACGTCATAGCTGCAGAGGCGCCCCCTCGATGGGACCTTCTGTGAGCAGGCAGGAAGGAAGCTTCCCGAACCTCTGCTACCTCACTGTCCCCAGCCCTTTCCCCTCGTGGATGTTGCCCCTTCTCAGCAGAGTCCTACCCGGGATCAAAGATCCTGACGCTATTTGCTGATGGCTTCAACACCTTTGCCTCCAATATTTCTGTCTCCATATGTCACAGTGGTATGGGTAGGGGAGAGGAGGGCTTAGCGGGGGTTATTCTGGGAACAAATCTTGGGTTTTTTGTGTGTGATCTCAGTGTTTGTGTCTGCGTGTATATCGCATGTATATGGACACATCTGTATGTGCCATGCTTGAGGGTGTACGTGTAATTACTCATGTAATTTTTATGACAGAACCAGAGTCTAGGAGGAAAAAGGAGAAAAACTTGAGTATTTAAAAACTTGAAAATAATATGGTGTGCACACTTTTTAAATTTTCCATTTGTAAGTATTTAACCATCACAACTGTTTGTAGTAGGTATTACTTCATTTGCATAGAGATAATGGGGGTTTGGGGCTCCTGGGTGGCTCAGTGGTTTAAGCCTCTGACTTTGGCTCAGGCTCAGGTCATGATCTCACAGTTCGTGGGTTCAAGCCCCGCTTTGGGCTCTGTGCTGACAGCTCAGAGCCTGGAGCCTGCTTCAGATTCTGTTTACCTCTCTCTCTGCCCCTCCCCTGCTCGCATGTGCTCTCTCTCTCCCTCTCCCTCTCTCTCAGAAATAAACATTAAAAAAAATAATAATAATGGGGATTTTTGTTTATTTTTTTGTTTTGTTGTTAAGTAAACCCTGCCCCCAATGTGGGGCTTGACCTTACACACCCAACATCAAGAATGGCATGCTCTAGGGGTGCCTGGGTGGCGCAGTCGGTTAAGCGTCCGGCTTCAGCCAGGTCACGATCTTGCGCTCCGTGAGTTCGAGCCCCGCGTCGGGCTCTGGGCTGATGGCTCAGAGCCTGGAGCCTGTTTCCGATTCTGTGTCTCCCTCTCTCTCTGCCCCTCCCCCGTTCATGCTCTGTCTCTCTCTGTCCCAAAAATAAATAAATGTTGAAAAAAAAATTTTAAAAAAGAATGGCATGCTTTCTTCCCCAATTAATGTATGTTTGTTTGTTTGTTTATATTTTGAGAGAGAAGTGTGCAAGTGAGCGAGGGGCAGAGAGAGAGAGGGAGTGGGGCTCACAGAAGTGGGGCTCACCCGAAGCAGAGCTCGAGCTCACCCGATGTGGGACTTGAACTCACAAACCGTGAGATCATGACCTGAGCCAAAATCAGATGCTTAACGACTACGCCACCAAGTTGCCCCAATAATGCATATTTTTAAAGTAAATTAAGTAACGTTTACTATGCCAGGCCCTTTGTTGAAACTATCTCACTTAAATCTCTCAGCAACCCTCCTTAAAGCCAGGAGGAAATTGAGGTCCAGAAAAGCTGTGTCATTGGCCCAGGGTCACACAGCTTGTTAGTGGCAGAGCTGGACTGGAACCAGTCTGTCTGGCAACAGACAGCCCTTAACTGCCCAGCTATGCTGCCTCTCCCTGAGAGATAATATAGGTCAATACGTATATTTATATTTAATCTGTCTGGCCCAGTTACCCCTGGCTGTGACCTCTTCTCTCTCCCCGAAATAAGCCCAAAGGGAGTTTGCGTGTGCACCTCTCAGCATGGTGGCTGACAGTCTGTTTTCTCCCTCACTTTCAGGATCTCGGGGGCACAGGCAGGGATGGCTGGATAGTGGATTATTTCCACATCTTCGGGCAAGGACAGAGATACCTGAACCGGAGAAACTGGGCAGGGGCAGGCAAGTGCCACCTGGCTTTCCAGCCTCACCATGGACCCACTTGGAAGAGTGATGTGCATTCCCCCAGTTCAGAGAGAGAAACCGGGCCACAGACAGCCCTGTTTTCAGGGGAAGAGGCCCAAAGACTGCATCCTCCAGCTTTTCTTCTCACGCATGAGCAGATGGTGTCACTGTGCTCCTTATATTTAGTGATTGAGTGCCTACTGTACGTCAGATGCTTTCTGCCCTCACGCTATCCCTGTGCTACAGCCGGGGAAACGGAAGTTTAGGGTGGTAAAGTGATTGGCCAAGAAGGGCTTAGCTGGGATCAGAGTTCCACTCTTTCCAACTCTAAAACCCATGTTCCCCTCACTGCTCCCGGCCTGAGCGGGCTGTGTCCTGCTCCTTTTCCGAGCCCAACTTAGCAACAAGAAAGGAAGGGTTGAGAGCTGTTTTTCTGACAGTGTGAACCCTCCTCCCACCCAACCCCATCGCCCTTTCACCACACTCTAGTCACATGATCCTATGCACCATTTGGCCAAAGTGAGCTCATCCATTTTCTCCAGATGGGTCAGAAGCAAGGGTGAAATGATTTCAGTCTTCCTGGGAGCAAGGCAAGTTCGGCCAAGCCCAGAATCTTCTGGCCCCTCCTGTGCTAGCACATACCATTCACACTCCTCCTGTATACTACTCGTGGTATGTGGTTTGGTTTCTAGAAAGTTGTCTCCTTGACTTCATCAACCCTTGGCTTTTAATCAAGACCCTTGAGACACTCCAGGATTGAGGTTTTAGCTGGGACATGGGGAGCATGTTCTATACCAGCCCTGGGACGGCGGGGGCGGGGGGGGGGGGGGTGGTGGCTGAACGCAGGCTCAGGCTTCTCTCTGTGCCCCCAAGGGCATTCCCTCCAGCAGGTGACAGGGCATGATAACTACAATGCTGATTTGAAAATGATCAACGGGTTCAATGGTCGGTTTGGCTATCGCAGGAACACCCCAGACCTCCGCCAGCGCCCATCGGTCTTTGGAGAGGTCACCCGATTCCCTCTCTTCTGACAGCATCTCTTCCCTTCCCACCCCTTGACCTGAATAGAAGACAGATGTTTAGACGATCTCTCAATTCTACTTTTAGATAAACAGTGATGTTATTGTGCCTCCAAGTGTGCTATTTTTTTCCCAAGTTTGGGACCGGGGCCAGCTAGTTTCTTCACCTTCTGCTTCTCTAGCCTTTGGGGAGGAGGTGGGAGGAGAGAGGCCATCCTCAGGCCTGTGCCCTTACGCTCCATGCCCACGAGTGCCAGGCTTGAAAGGAGGCCTCAGTTCTCCCCCGCCCATGTAAGAAGAAACTGCACTGCTTACCGAGCCCTCCACAAAGCTCTGCCCCAGGCAGCAGCAGGGCCCTGGGTTAGACACCGGCTACTGATGTTCCATCAAGAACTGAGCCAAAAGGGATTCGGCCAAAGGGATTGTCATTGGTTGCCCTGAGAAGGGTTTCCTGATTTTCCTGAGAGTCATCCCATCCAAAATAACTGACATCTTCCTTCTCCTCTCTACCCTCAGTCCATCAAGAGTCAGGGCATGAACAAGGGGATATCTGGGGGTGTTTTTTAGCCTCTGGATTCTGATCTAGTAATTCTGACACAGTGCTTGTGGGCACTTTCTCTGCTGGTGCTCTATCAGTTTCCTTTTCAGCTAGTTTCCAGGATGTCATTTTTCAAGTGTCCCCACCCAGTTCACTGGTGACCAAGAGAAAAGCCACAGCAGATGATGGATACAAAAGAAGGTGGAGCTTTAGAACACAAAGCCTGCCAGAGCTCTGGTGTGGGTGGAACCTGGTGGTATTGAGTCACCTTAAGTGGACAAGGAAGAGAAGAATAATAGGTCATGGGGGTATAGCTCAGGGGTAGAGCATTTGACTGCAGATCAAGAGGTCCCCGGTTCAAATCCGGGTGCCCCCTTCCTCCTCCCTTTTGTAATTCCATTAAGTGGAAGTCAGTAAGGGCACCATGCCTCTTAACTCCCAGCCAGAGTGTCTAGAGAGGACAAAGAATTGTCAGTGCATTCTTTGATTGAAACATTTACTAATCTCCCCAGATTCCAAAGGATACTTAGCTGAGACCCCTGGATGACCTTGTTGGGCTTCAATTAAGACAAAGTCCCCTGGGGCACCTGGGTGGCTCAGTGGGTTAAGCATCCACCTTCAGCTCAAGTCATGATCTCACAGTCCGTGAGTTCAAGCCCCGCATCAGGCTCTGTGCTGACAGCTCAGAGCCTGGAGCCTGCTTTGGATTCTGTGTCGCCCTCTCTCTCTCTACCCCTCCCCTGCTCATGCTGTCTCTCTATCTCAAAAGTAAATAAAAACATTAAAAAATAAAATAAAGACAAAGTCCCCTAAGGAAATTCTGAATCTAGAATTAGGTATGAGAGCTTTGAACATAAATGTAGCAATCTGAGGGATGAGAGTACAGGTAAAGAGGATCATACAACATGCGTTTTTGAGAGTTTAGGCCAGTGCATGTAAGGCAGCTGTAAATTAAAAGAAACACGGCCCCTGCCCTCAGGGAGCTTTATGTCTGCTGGAAGTTGACATATTCATACACAGCTATCAGAGGAAGACAAGGGTTGTAGCTCAAGGAAGAAACATCTTTTAAAAATACCTACCCACCTTTTCTAGACATAACTTCTAAGTGAAGCTTTCCTACAATTTGAGGGGACATTTCTGCCTAATCTGAAGAGTTTATTATGGACATGTTGTTTCTGACGCCACAATCCCTTCTAGATGGTTCAGGGCACTTTCCTCTTAGTAGTTTATTGTGCCAGTCAGAGTTCTTGGCATGGAATAGATACCCACTCTGGCCACTGTAAGGAGAAAAGGAGTCTCCTAGAGGCAGGGGGGACTCATGGTGTTGATGGAAGTTTGGAGAACCTAACTCACAAAGCATTAACTATGAAGGGCAGCAGAGGAGGGAAATCCAGCTCTGGTCTCCTCTCTCAGGAAGTGTCCACTGCTGATGTCACCAATTCAGGGCACTTATCACCAAGTCGTGGTATGGTTCCAGCTGGACCTGCATCTCCAGGATACTTCCTGAAGCTTCAAGATGCCAAGTGCAGGGCGCCTGGGTGGCTCAGTCGGTTAAGCGTCTGACTTTGGCTCAGGTCATGGTCCCAAGGTTTGTGGGTTTGAGCCCCGCGTCGGGCTCTGTGCTGACAGCTCAGAGCCTGGAGCCTGTTTCAGATTCTGTGTCTCCCTCTCTCTCTTTCTGCCCCTCCCCTGCTCACACTCTATCTATCAAAAGATTTGATTGGTTGAGTCATGGCCTGACGTGTGTGCAGTTTTCTGCCAGGAAGGCAAGGAGGTAGTGTTGCCTCATCAAGTTTGACAGTGCGAGATAGTCCCCCTGAATTGGAGGGGTGTTTGGTGCAAAAATGGATGTATCGCCACTTTCCCTTCCTTGAAGAAACAATTGTAAGGAGAGAGCGTGAAAATTCACTGGTTTATAGTTCTAGTGGTCAAGAATTTGCTCTCTCACACCCCTTGATTTCCCATTTGCTAACGTCAGGTCAAAAACATTTTTTTTTAATGTTTATTTTGAGAGAGAGAGCAAGAGCAGGGAGGGAGGAGAGAGAGAGGGAGAGAGAAAATCCCAAGCAGGCTCTGCACTGTTAGTGATCTCAAGAACCGTGAAATCATGACCTGAGCTGAAATCAAGAGTCAGATGCTTATCCAACTGAGCCACTCAGGCGTCCCTGAAGAGACATTTCATAAAGGAAGAGCTGTAAATGGTGGATAAACCCACGAAAACGGATGCAACATCACGAGTCATCAGATAAATGCAAATCGAAATCATATTGTGACACCATACATGCATCAGAATGACTAAAATGAAAAAGACTGGTAACATCAGACGCCAACTCTTACTTGGTGGGAATGTCAAATAGTATGCCATTTTGGGGAAAGATCTGGCAGTTGGTAGAAAACTGAAATGTACTGACCTTCTGGCCCAGCAATTCCATTCCTAGAATGTTACTCGGGGTAAATGAAAACATACTTACAAAAAGACCTATATAGGAATGTTCATAGAGACATTTTTCATAACAGGCAGAACTAAAAACAGACTAGGGTCCACCAACAGGAAGGTGATTTTTTTAAATCTGTGGTTTATTCATACAAGGAAATCCTACTCATCCATAACAAGGAACGAATTACTGATTCAAGATGGATGAATCTCACCAACATAATGCTGATAAAAAAACCTTACAGAAAAGATTGTACGTTGTATTATTCCAGTTATATGAAATTCTAGAACAGACACAATTAATCTATGGTGAAAACAAATCAAAAGAGTGGTTGCCTCTTGGGTGGGGGTGGGAAAGAGATTAGCCAGAAAGGGGAATGAGGGGAATTTTACGGGGATGATGTTAATGTTCCATTTGTTTGTTTCTTTCTTTTTTTAAGTACACTCCATTCCCATCATGGGGCTTGAACTCATGACACTGAGATTCTGAGTCACATGTTCTACCAAATGAGCCAGCCAGGCACCCCACTGTTCCATTTCTTGATTGGGGTTTGGGTTACACCGGTGTATGTATCTGTCAGACTTAGTGAATGGACACTTAAGATTTATACATTTCATTTTATGTAACTTTAACATGAAATGAAAAACACTGTAAACAAATATGAACTCTAGTTAATGATATGCATGCTGAAGTATTTAGGAGAAAGTGCATTGTCTGCAATTTATTTTGATTTTTTAAATTATTTTGATATATATAAGTATATAAGTTATATATATTTATATGTAATAA